TTTTTATATAACTCATTTCCAACTATGAAATCAACAATTAAACAGTCTTCCTGAAAAATTTTGCTGAATGCTTGAGTTAGTAAAACAAACAAATAATTTTACAAATATATTTATAAACTTGCCACAAAAAATAAGGAAATTATTGTAGATTATTTATTTGTTGTAACAATGCTTCTTGACAATAAATCATATACTGTTTGAAAGCCTGTTAATTTCCATTTTAAATGGTGACAAATTTGTAAGGAACATGCATTTGTGGGAAGAGCAGAAGAGCTGAGTGTGTAGGTTGTGCACATGAAAAATTTCTCTGACAAACATCTTTTTTGCTGTTATTGACACTTGTTTTGAGCATCCGGTACTCTCAGTTGCTGCCATCAGGCACACGCTACAATGGTACGCTCATACCAAACACGTTTTAAGCTGCAACAGCAGCCAGTTTACATACAAAGTCTATGGTGGACGCGCCTCTAGGGGTCTTGCTGGGGGTCAGGTCCGTTTAGCGCAGCACGAAAGGAACGCGGAAGGTGCTGCAGAGCATTTTCCATGCATGCGATGTGGTGAAAGCAGCCGATGCTTGAGTTCAAAAATCCGATCTTTCGCCGCTCGACGCGTCTTGACAACCAAACAAAGAGACTCATTTTTCCAGGTTCCTGAATGTTGCCCACAAACAGACAGACAGGAGCTCTTTAGCTGAAATCAACCATCTGTAGGTGGTGTTCTGGCTGGAGATATCAGCACCAATGTGGGTCAGAAGCTCTTTAAACTGACCGCGGTGTTAAACTGGGCTCGGGACAAAAAATATTCCATCAGCTCACTGGAGTGTCAAAACTAACCGAACAAACCGCCTCTAAATCATCTGGTGAATTAATTTTCTGGTGTGCGCAACGTTCGCTTGCTCTTTAGTAAATAAAGCAAAGCCATTTTCATTATTTTATCTTTATTTCATCCGCTGAAGACAGAAAGGGAAAATAAGCAAGACACTCCTCCCTCTTCAGACGTGTGTCTAGTCTCTGTCCCGGTCTGAACGTAGTGCATCCAACTGGAGGTGTTGGGCGCTTTTTTGCTGCTCAAAACYCATTCGGTGTGAACATACAATGAGATTTATTACCAAGAAGCATTGTTACAACAAAGAAAATATTTATCAAACACAAATTTACATAAATTTTGTGCTAAGTATAGACGCCCCTTCCTGGGCTGCCACCTTATTGTGGAGAGGTTTGTTATCCTAGTGATCCTAGGAGCTATTTTATCAGGGGCTTTGTTCCCCTGGTATGGTTAACTAAGGCAAACAGYTGAGGGATCAGATAAAGTGCAGCCAGAAGACCCATTATGATGAGTAACACAAATGGATTTAGTGTTCTTTCACATGGACATAGGTTACCGGGACCRCACTCTGGAGGCAGGCCTGGAGGTGGGGCATGAGACATGGGTCCCCCTTCCCATGGGCTCACAACCTGTGAGACGGGCCGAAGGGGTCGGGTGCAATGAATGTTGGGCAGTGGTCTAAGGCGAGGACATTGGCGGTCTGATCCTCGGCTACAGAAGCTGGCTCTAGGGACGTGGAGTGTCACCTTTGGTGAGGAAGGAGCRTGAGCTGGTGTGTGAGATTGAGAGGTTCTGACTGACTCACCTTGATGCACCGCTTTTTACTCTGGAGTTGCCCCTGTTGCGAGGCGCTGAGCAGGAGTGGGCATACTTGTTGCCCCCCATCTTGGTGCCTGTACGATGAGATGGAAATGGTAGCCTCCCTCTGCTTACATGTGGGGGGATGGGTCCTTACTGTTGTTTGTGCCTATGCGCCTAACAGCAGTTGAGATTACCCACCCTTTTTGGAGTCCTTGGAGAGGGTGCTGGAGAGTGCTCCTCATGAGGACTCCCTTGTTTTGCTGGGGGACTTCAACACTCATGTGGGAAATGACAGTGAGACCTGGAGGGGTGTGGTTGAGAGGAGCAGTCCCCCCAAACTGAACCAGAGTGGTGTTTTGTTATTGGAGTTCTGTGCTCGTTATGGATTGTCCATAACGAACACCACATTCAAGCATAAAGGTGTCCTCATGTGTTCTTGGCACCAGGACACCCTAGGCTGCAGCTCAATGATCGACTTTGTTGTCGTTTCTTCTGATCTGGGGCCACATATCCTGGACACTTAGGTGAAGAGAGGGGCTGAGCTMTCAACTGACCACTACCTGGTGGTGAGTTGGCTCCATTGGTGGGGGAGGATGCCGGTCAGACATGACAGAACCAAACATATAGTGAGGGTCTTCTGGGAACGTCTGTCAGAGTCTCCCATCAAACAGAGCTTTAACTCAGACCTCCGAGAGAACTTTGAACACCTTCCGGAGGAGGTGGGGGACATGGAGTCTTAGTTGGCCATGTTTCATGCCTCCATTGTTGAAGCTGCTTAACTGAGATGTCACCGCAAGGTTGTTCTCGAAATTGCTGGTGGACACTGGCGGTGAGGGATGCTGTCAGGCTGAAGAAGGAGTCCTATTGGGTCTTTTTGGCCTGTGGGACTACAGACACTTATACACAAATCTCTGGTACTGAGGTCACCAAGGTGGTTWAAAAGCTCCTTGGTGGCAAGGCCCTGGATGTTGTGTGGTTGTGTWGGTTAATGTGACTGTACAATACTACATGGACTTCGAGGGCATTTCTCTTGGATTGGCAGACTGGGGTTGACAAGAGTGTGTTCCACAACAGGGGGATCACATTTCTAAGCCTCTCTGGTAAGATCTATTCAGTGGTCCTGGAGAGGAGGGTTTGTTGGATAGTTGAATCAGATTCAGGAAGAGCAGTGTGGTTTTTGTCCTGGTCGTGAAACACTGGACCAGCTCAACACCCTCAGCAGGGTCCTGGAGGGTGCATGGGAGTTCACTCAACCAGTTTACGTACATGTGTTTTGTGGACTTCTTGAATGCCTTGTTTGACCGTGTCCCTCGGGAAGTCCTGTAGGGGGTGCAGAAGTATGGTTAGGCCCCTGCACAATAAGTGCCAGAGTCTGCAATGCCTGCAGTAAGTTGGACTTGTTTCCAGTGAGAGTTGGATTCCACCAAGGTTGCCCTTTGACACCGATTCTGTTCATACCTTTTATGGACAGAATGTCTAGGCACCCTCAAGATGTTGAGGAGATGGTGACCTTAATATCACATCTCTGCTTTTTGTGGATGATGTGGTCCTATTGGTTTCATCAGTTCATGATCTCCAGCTCCCACTGGAGCAGTTCGCAGTGGATTGTGAAGCAGCCGGGATGAGAATCATTGCCTCCAAAACCGAGACCATGGTCTTAAGCTGGAAAAGAGTAGGGTGCCTTCTCTGTGTCAGGGAGGAGGTCCTGTCCCAATTGGAGGAGTTTAAGTATCTTGGGGTCTTGTTCACAAATGAGGGGAGAATGGAGCGGGAGCTCGATAAGCAGATTGTTGCTGTGTCTGCAGTGATGCGGGCGTTATACCGGTCTGTCGTGGTGATGCAAGAGCTGAGCCAGAAGGCAAAGCTCTTGATTTACCAGTCGGTCTACGTTCCTACCCTCATCTATGGTCACGAGTTTTGGGTAGTGACAGAAAAAACAAGATTGTGGATACAAGCAGGCAAAATGAGTTTCCTCTGCAGGGTGTCTGGCCTCTGGGACTCGGAGTAGAGCCGCTGATCCTCCACGTCGAGAGGAGCCAGTTTAAGTGGCTCAGGCATCTGGTAAGGATGCCTCCTGGACGCCTCCCTGGTGAGGTCTTTCAGGCACGTCCCACTGGGAGGAGACCCAGAGGAAGACCCAGGACACGCTGGAGGGACTATGTTTCTCGGCTGGCCTGGGAACGCCTTGGAATTCCCCCAGGAGCTGGCCTGAGTGACTGGGGAGAGGAAAGTCTGGGTCTCTCTGCTTTGGCTGCTGCCCCCAAGACCCGACCCCAGATAAGTAGAAGAAGATGGATACATGAAGTATACTGTAGATGCACCTAATGTAAATTAAGTCGTTTTATCTGCTTACATTAATGAACTAGATTAAGAACACATTAACCAACAGTGTGAGAAAATAAATGCTTGTTTTGTATTTTTTTCTTGTCACCTGTTTTTGACAAAAGTTTCTGGCAACTAGCCTTTTTGTTTAATGGTTGGGATAGTTGTGTGTTTCTTGTTCTCCTAGTAATTTCATTTCATCAGTTTGTTCAATAATTACTAATTTATTCAGTCACAAATTAAAATCTGTGCTTTCTTTTTCTTTCTTTCTTTCTTTCTTTCTTTCTTTCTTTCTTTCTTTCTTCCTTTCTTTCTTTCTTTCTTTCTTTCTTTCAGGTTTTCCACATGAACTCTCGTTACATCCTCTACATCCATCTGGTGATCAACGACATCATCATGCTAACACTGACCATCCTCCTTCAAGTCTTGAGTTACATCCTGTTTACCCTTAATGTGTCTTTTTGCATCGTTATGCTAATGATATCCATCTCTTCCAACCGAAACAACCCTTTAACGCTGGCTGCCATGGCTCTGGAGTGTCACCTGGCTGTATGCTTCCCTCTCCGCCACCCTCAGATCTGCACCGTCAGAAAAACCTARYCTGTGATCTCTGTGATATGGCTCCTGAGTTCTCTTACAATTGTCCCAGATCTMTTTGTAGTCTTGGCCACAAGACCTGCAGCATATTTTCATTCCAGGGTTTTCTGCATGTTGTCAAACATCTTTTCAGACCCACAGRTGGAAAAAAAGAAAGATGRGTCCAACATTTTGTATTTGGTTTTAGTTTGGCTCACTCTTTTCTATTCATACTTTAGGATTKTTTTTGCTGCACAAACAGCTTCTGCAAATGCTAAGAAAGCAAGAAACACAGTCCTGCTGCACGGTTTCCAGCTGCTGCTCTGTATGCTGAGTTACGTTTATAACTTCATGATCCAAGGCCTCACAAATCTGTTCCCAGCAGATGCTCTGGCCATCAGCTACGTGATCACTCTGCTGATTCAGATACTGCCAAAACTCATRAGCTCAATGGTTTATGGGATACGAGACAAGATTTTCAGGAAGCATCTGAAACAATGTTTGTTCCCCACGAGAGTCACAAACATTCATCCTGAGAAGATGGAAAAGCGGCAGAAAAGAGTAAAATGAGTTGTGAATTGTTTTGAACAGATTTTGCTGTTATCATAAAAGGTTTGATAAAACCACTYTCTGCTTGTTATTTAAACACAAAATTAGCATCATCAAATGAGAGAAGATCAGTTGTTTAGGCCTTGTTCAGTTAAAAACCATGTTTTTGTTAACATCTACAGTATATWTTAACTGCCTGCTCGTTCTCCACCAGGAGCTCACTTCTCTCCTCAAACCAACAAAAAAACATCAGAAGACTTTTAATCTTTTGAAAACAAAAACAACTACATGTTAACAATATGTGCTCACTTTGCTTACAATCGTTTCACTTCAGTCCAGTCTGTGGCTGCATAAAAACAGCTTTAATTTACTCCGTAGCCATTCTCACCAAACCTAAAATAATCTCAAAGATATGACACAACTCTGGGATTAATTCTAGGTGTCACATTGAGATCTTCAGTTTGTTCACTTATTTGGATTCTACGATTCTTTATTGCTGCAGTATTTAATGCGTGATTATTTAAAGATGCACAGTGCATTATTCATAAATAATAATATATAATGTATTAATAAAATAAGTTAGTTTAAAAATGTCAGAAATCATTCTCATCAGTRAGCAGAAAAGTTGAAAACTACAAAAATTAGAGTGTTTTACTGTAAAGAAAAGTTATTTCTTTTGTTATTTCGAATATTTAAGTAAAAAAACGTCATCATCAGTTTCCCCTGTGTGATAAAGAGTGTTTATAAAGACTCACCTCTGCTCTCAGCTGTCTGTGTCTCACCTGAAGTCAGGTAAGGAACAAAACACTTGTTTGCTTTTATCACCCTAAATATTCCTGTAAATATTATCAGTTAAACTGTCATTTAAATATAAAATTTTGTTGACTACATATAGTTATATTTTGAATTGCAGTGGTTTGCGTTTCTTTTCAGGCTGCATGGTGAAATTGTTTTTTATATAAATGTTTTATAGTCATTTAAAATAAATGGGGCAAAGTTTACAGAGTTTAACACTTGAGCTTTTCTTTATAAATTATTTCGACTATTTTTTTCCTACTGATAGAACCAAATTAGACTAATATTTCTTTGAAATGTTTTATTTAAAATGATTAAACTGATTCTGTGTTTTCCTCAGCTCAGGGTGAAACATGAGCTCATCAGAGGCTCTCAGAGGAAACACGACTTCATCTCTGCAGGTCTGACGAAGCAGCTTTATTTTTTAAATAAATCACTGTAAACAAATTCTCCCATTACGTTTTATTTTTTTAAAGAAATTATATAAAAACATTTCATAGTAAACTATATTTATTAGTTCTTCAAGACTATGAGAGGAAAATTGTTGCAAATCAGTTCAAGCTGAAATTAATATCAAACGTGTCATAACTAAACATATAGGTTTCAGAAATTGTCTCATATGGTTTGATTATATTTGTATTTATTTTACTTTTATAATACAACTGGTTTGAATGGCTTGAACTTATATAGTACCTTATCAAGTTCACATGGACCCAAAGGAGCTTTACACTTCAGCCATTCACCCAGATAGACAAAAACATGTTATAAACACAACATAAACATGAACTGATGTATGAACTTTGTGATGAGTTAAAAAGTTTTGGATGTTTACGATTATTTAAAAAAAAAGCTTGGCAATAATGTTATTTTTACACAATTCTGAATGCTACACACTCACAGAATTGCATTATTTATGAGCCCAAAAAGTCAAATATTACTTTCAGTTTGATGTAGATTCTTTATAAAAGTGTTTGAGGTTGGCAGAAATGTTAAATTTGACTTCTTTGCTGAAGCATCTTCTGTCTCTGTGTCGTTTTGTTCAGCTGGTTCTCAGAGATTCTTTCACCACAGCAGTTGTGAAGAACCTGATCGTGGTTCTGGTCTGGCTCATCCTCACTTACATCAACAGCACTCTGGTTGCCACTTTCTTTAGACACCAGGTACACAAAGAGACACACAGCTMCTCAAAAATAATAAATAAATGTTTTTTATCAGTAGTTAAAATGTTTTAAAATAATGTGTTTCAAATATATTTGTTTGATGGGAAAAAAAAGTGAGAGCCTAAAATTTTATAAATTCTTCATTAATTTGTATGTAACCACAAGTCAGGGCAATAATTATTGTGTTTTAGTCTGTCTGTTAGCAAAATATCTCATGAACCACTGACTGGATTACAGTGAAACTTTCAGAACGTGAACACCTGATATACGCCTACAACTGATAAACTTTTGGAGTCACTTTGACTCAAGCTGGCTGCCACAGCATGTCAACCATAGCAAACATGAAAAGTCTGAAACATATTACCTTCCAACATTCAGGTAAACTTTGTTAAGAAAGACAGTTGTTATTAATTTAAGGGGATGGAAATGTTTGTGAAGCCATATTTTCGTACTTGCTTGAAAGAAAGATGTACTTTAATCCAGGGTATAGGATTGTGGAACGGTCTGGAGGATGATCTTAAAAATGCCAGATCTATGAATATATTTAAAAGACAGATAAAAGCTAGTTTTTTGAAGGTATATGAAAAGTAAAATGTGAAGCTATTTGAATTGTTGTTTGAGTTGATGTTTTTTATGTTGTTGTTTTTATTTTATTTATTTTATTTAGTATTGTTTTGTGAATTATGTTTCGTTTGAATATGTTCTGAGGATAAAAGGGGCAGACCAAGGAGGTCCTAACAGGAGGAAGTTAACAGCTAACGCTAAACGGTCAAGAGTCTGGATTTCCCATCACTGTACATGTTGACTACAGAGCAGAAAAAAAGGGCTGATGATGGAGAAATCATTAAAACTATTAATAATAACATTAATCCAATAACATTTTACAGTTTATATAATCTATCTAATGTTTTAAATAATGTCAGAAAAGCTGTTTGTGTTATGGATTTATTAACAGAAGATAAACAGGAAAACGTCTCATTTCACAACACAAGTCAGCAGATTTGATCTTATTTAGCTCAATGTGATCTGAGCAGAACATAATGAAATTAAAATAATCTTATAAAGTTGATGTAATCACTGTTATTTATTGAACTGGTTAGCAGATATTAGC